TCTTTCCCTCCCTTCCAAAATTGGTAAAAGCAAATAAAGTTGGTCTTTCCCAAAAGATTTCTTAATTCTCCAATTGTTAAAAACCTGTCCTAAGACAGCAAGCAACCCAAACAGATGGCAAAAGAACTAGTAATTTTCATCTCCCCTGCATGGTTTCAAACAGAACATCATGATATGCACAAGTAGGCAAAGCAGGGGTGGCGGTGTGGGGAGCGGTTGATTCACACACTCCAATTGAACAAACAACTCTTGCACAGTTAGAGCACCACCACAGGTGAGGCAAAACAATTTCTTTTTCAGTATTCAATAACCAAGATGACAGAACTACAGCCAACAGAGTGGGTTTGTCATCAGATCAGGCTACAAGGCTCATACGCAAGACATATCACCTTATGCAAAACTATCCATTCCCCTTACAGAAAGATAACATATATAGTGATGGAGGTAACTGGGAATGACATTTTATCTAGCTGGTCATGTTTGTCAGTCTGTCTGCTTCCATAAGCCAAGCCAAGAAGCTCTGAGGAAAAAGATACTTGGAAACCATGGCAACATACCATTTTGGCTGGTAAAAAGTAAGCAAAGAACAGCCATCACTGCTGCTAATAGAAAAATATACATTTGTTTTTCAAAAAAATTTACATATCAAGTTCTTCTAAAAATAGTCATCCCAGACGTGCAGACACCAACATACAGTCAGAATTATCTCTTCAGCTAAACTGTCTTTCCTATGCAGGAATAGAGAGAACAGTAGAGAAAATAAGGAATCAGCAAACGTAGTAACATATGGTATCTCTTTTAAACCACAGCACAGTACAGATGGCTGCAGTGACACTGCAAGACCAGTTCTTCATTGCTGTGGACACTGTACAAGCTTAATACACAAACTACTGGATGCCTGCACAAGAGAACCCGTGCAACCAAGCCTGTCCAAAAAAAGAGAAGTACTCACATACAATAACGATAGGCAGAAGTAAAGAGCTATTCACAGGAGATAAAATAGATACATGTAGTGACTTTCTGCATTATATCCAGACTGAAATCAACACAGGAAACGCTGCATTCCCACACAGTGTTCCTGGTTTTAGCTAACAGCAGTTCCTGAGGATCACAGGCAGCCAACAAGACAGACAGTTGCTCAGAAATGCTGCAGATCTGTGCCTTATACATGTAAAGACTAGAAGTGAACAGTCAAGCTCTCTTTGGTAAATTCCAAATTAAGACCCCCTGTACTACAAGGAGATGGACATCCTCGCTACCACTTGGTACCAATTTTTCTAACCAGAATTAGAGAGAACACACAGACTTCACAGAAGCAGATGTATGATATTTTAACTTAAAACGTTGAAAAAAAAAATCAAATTAATGAACTAATAAATTGAGTAAGAAAAACCATTTGCAGGAAGACAAAGCTCTCAAAACAAAGTTTTTGAGCCAGAATCAGGAGAGTCCATGAAGGGTGACATTGCATCCTGAAGCAATGCCTCATTATGGCTGAGAACCTATTTAACAAGTTAAATTACTTTAAATATACAGCACCTGTTTAGGCTCTGACTGTAACTTATTCAAAGAAAAAGCAGCATAAAACAGAAATCTTCTATACTTGGCTCACGTGAAAGTACGATTAAGATGATAATTAAGATAAATGAGATTTATTTAAATTTTTGTGGACTCTGTTAATTCAACCACATTGGTGATGCTCTCTGTTGCTTGATTTTTCAGAAGTAATGTTTGATTGAATGAGAAAGCAAAACCTGTGAATTTCATTATTCTTTTATACACTTCCCTGTTGCTATGATTTACAGCTATGTTCAAATTAAACATCCTCAATTAAGAATCACCTCCTGCAAAACATTGCTAGTAAAAGTACTAGTCTGATTTCCTAGAGGAATCTACAATTAAGAAAACTAAACTCCTAATTTCTTAGAAATCCTGAAGGTTTGAAGGCTCACTAGAACATAGTACAGACACTATAGCACTTCTTTTTAAGCCTTGAAACTGCAAATATTTTTAACTAAACCTAAGCCAAACCAAAAATATAATTCAAAAATTGAAGAAAATAATTTAATTTGGTTAAGTATACCTGCTACATTCTGTACTGGATAACTGTAATTTAGCATGACCACAAGTCCACAGAAAAGAGCACTTCAGATGCTGGACATCCTGTAGCAGACATTTATTCATGTCTAAACCTCACAGAAAGGGTAAGAAAAGCAGCTTAGGAGCCCAAGCAAAATTACTTTCAATGCTGAAGGGGTAGATAATACTATAAGCAAATTCTGCTTTCTCAGAGTTGATAATTACTTTAGTTGCATAAATTAAAAATAACTGAAGAATTCTAAGAGTGACTAGAATACAACTAGAAAGCCATTATATCCTCCTTTTTGTGACATTGCAATGTTTTAATAGGCTTCCTCTGTTCTATTGTTTCAGGAAAAAACAACCCCACAACATTTCTTTTGCAATTTTCCTGTCATTATATCAAAGGAAAAATACCTGTATTGCAGTGTGTCTACACATGAAAAGACATGAAAAAACCCCAACTGTACGAGCAAAGCTCCAATTATATATCCAATATGTAATTGAAAAAAAAAGTTATTAGAAAGTTATCCCTTAAATGACCTATGATTAAGCCCAAAGCAGCTATGCGGAACAAGTTATGCAACATTTTTTAACAGAAATGGAGGTATTAAAAAAAATCCCACAAATCTGTAGAGTAGAACTGTGAATCTAACTTTTAACTTGCATTTGGAAGTATAAAATGTTGGGAGACCATGATTTAGGTTAAATCTGCAGTTAAAGTGTTCATACTTGGCAATTGGAGAGGAAGAGAGTTCTTTTAAGAAAGAAAATTCAAAGTTAAGATACAACTTCATACTCCACCCTTACACTTTAAAAAAGTCTAACTCACTAATTGTTATTTCATGTAATGAATAGTACTAATACACAGCAAATCACAGTAAGTTGAAAGTGCAATGACTTATAACACTGAACATTCAAGTGTCAACATTTTTCATTTCACCTGAGCCTCAACTTCACATTTTTAATGCACAGGAGTTCTAGAAGGACTAAACCTAGCAACCAACAAACATTACAAAAAACAGACTAGAAGTCTGTAACGCCCGTGTTAGGAAAAAAAAAATAAAAAATTGAAATTATTTAGAAATACAGAAGCTCCCATTCTTCTTCACCAAAATCCAACATCTCTACTTCATTATGGAACTCTTAGAAACAAAGTTGTCCCTAAATATGTTCTGCAACATCACATAATATCTTTGCAAACATACTGTATTGCCCTGTGTTAGTATGATAGAGGCTGGTTGGCATGGCCATTGCAGAAATTCCAGAAGGCGCTCCTTCATCTTCTGACTTTTCTTCTTCTTCAATCTTTGGTACTGCAGGAGCATCTGATGAGAGTTCATTCAAAATTTTTCTAAAAAAGAATGTAAATAATTTTACATATTTGAAATTCCATATCCATGAGAAAACTAAGTTACTGGCTTTTATCAGACAGTTTTGCTGTAGTATATAAGCTGCCTTTAAAAACCAGCAAAACCAAAATCAAAAGTTCTTACCGGTATGAAGGCCTTCTTGAAAGTATTTCCCTACGTTTTTGAGAGTCAATTATCCCTTCTGATTCTGCAGATTCATCTGCAATCGATGCTACCTGTAATAGCAAAGTTTCTGCAATTCGTAACTTCATAAAAAAAAGAAGATAGCAACAGAGTAAAAGATTATTTAAAAAAATTCCTTCCCTGTTTGCATACAGGAAGTTTGTGCACTTATTTATCACTAATCATGTGAACTTGGACTTCTTTTCCAAAGCAAATCACAAAGTATGAGTTTAGCAACACATAGCCGCTTAGATGACATCTTCCATTTGAAAAAGAAAAAAAAAAATCAAAATAATCCAAGTTACATTTTTGTGAATGATGTGTAGAAAAAGTACTGAAGACAAAAGATTTGTTTAAATATAAAATTATTGTAGAATTTAATTAGCTCTGTCCTGGTTTCAGCTGAGAGGGTTCATTTTCTTCACAGTAGCTAGTATGGGGCTGTGTTTTGGATTTGTGCTGGAAACAGCAGTGAAATTAAACATTTAAAATACAGAATACTGCACTAATACATCTTAAATAACAGTATACAATACAAAAGCCTCTTCACAACCACACCAAAGCTATTTAGAAAATAAGTTTATTTAAATATACACATTTGTTACACTTACCAACATATTCATAAATACAAACACATTGCTTAGCAAGACTGTGCAAATTTTAGAAACCCCTGACAAGTCCACAATGTCTCATTTTCTCAGACTTTTATTATTTTCACAAGTTCTTTTTCTCTTAAAATTACCCAAGATGACATTAAGGCCTGGAGCTGAATCACACTCTTTACCAGCAACTATCTTACTGCATAGAACCGAAAGTGATTATTGAACAAAGAAAACACACTATTTTCTTGATTCATTTAACTACTCAGAACTATGGGTGTGTAAGATTTCCAAACTGAAACAGTGCAGTCAAGTTAGTGTGGAAAATGACCTTCTCTCATAAAGGACAGACCAGACCGCAATTTCAAACTAAGCGCTGGGTTAAGCTAACACTGAACAAACATGAGTTCATGGACTAGAAGGCTCAGGTGTTCAATCTCGGTGCAGGGGAGGCTTCCCTGCAGCTCGGGGAAGACAAGAAACAGCTATAGAACTAATACTGCTGCTGAGTGCTCAGTACTAGAAACAAAACCTGCATGACCCCAACAAAAAATTACAGTTGAGAGCCTGGGCATCCCATCTTAAAACAGAACTCTCATTCTGGTGGGGGGAAGGGAATAAAAAAAATCTACTTGTCCCAGGACAAACAAGCAGAAAAACAAGACCTCAGTGCTTTTAAACCTTTCCATTACGCTAAGGGTTACCAATAGCCAGCCATAGTTTGTGAAGATAGCTGAAGAAGTTAGGAACACTTTGGGAAGAAGGTAAGGAAACCACAAGACGATTTAAGCATTTTAATGTGGAAGAGGAAATTTTCTGCAAGAAATTTCAAAAGTACTAATTTTCATCAAGACAAACATGTTTAATGTTTCAGCTTGTTCTAACAGCAAGCAACCACATTCACAATGCTAACCAATGGAAACCACTGTCATTTTTTCCTGGACATCATTCAGACTTCAACTTCACCACACCGCTCTTGTGTTTGAACAAACTGAACTTCAAGCTCACGTTAGTCTGCCAATAAGTGATACATTATGGGGGGGGGAACAAGTAGAAAAGTCAAATAACAATCTGAACTTCAAACCTTCCCACAAGTAAAACAACATTAACAAAACTAAGGAACGTGATACAGACAAGCAATTTTTTCATCCAAAAAGCAACAGCATTACAAGGAAAAATTTGGAACACCTTCCAATTTAAAGCTGCAGGTGTTTGAGGGAGAGGTCATGCAAGCATTAACATCAACCTTCAGCATACTTTTTTCTTCTTAATTAAACTGATATCATTTCCCAAGTTCCCCACTGTCTGGCAGAGATAGGATATCAAGTTAAAGCCAAATGATCTGGAGGAAATGCCAGGTGGTAGGATGAAGTACTTAAGAGGATTACAGAAGGGCTGAACAACCTCTGTAACAGAGTCTTTTACAACATCTTCAAGCCCTTCTTGTAGAAATCACCTTATTTGCCATTAGCATGCTCAAATGAAACCAAAGCAAAACCCTGGAACTAACTAGTCAGTATTAATCAGGACACAGCTTTCCTGTCTCTACTCCTTTGGGAAAGGGAAGACAGCCAGAGTGCACTCAATACAACAAACAGTCGACTTGCACTGCCCTAAGATGACACAGTAGCAGCTGGCAAGAGACTCCAGCGAAATTCTTCCTTTGGAGCTTTAGAGAAAATCCTCTATTTTTGTGTGTATGTCCTGACTATACTGAATTGAAGAAAAGCAGTGACAGAAACTGGGAATAACTGTAATATGCTTATCTGATAAAGCTCACTCTAGTAAATTACAGTTAGAGAGAATTCCATTTAAGAAGTAGTTATTTTGAGTACACTGATTTGACTTCAAGTTTGACCAGATCCAAGTATCTTACCATCTACTGTGCCTATTTCAGTAGTGATCTAGAATTTCAAAACCTTACCAGGTCCCATCATCTACACTTACTGCTTACAAATAAAATATTCAGTACCTGGCCAAGGTTTATTCTTTTTCTCTAATCTCTAAAATAAATCATACTTACATATACCTTTCTGTTTATTATACTTGAAAACTCCTAAGATGTCTCACACATTAAAAGGTGGCTTCTCAAGAAGACTGACAATGCATGTCTTTTCCTTAACACACTGCAATGACTGCAGGTAAAACTGTCCGCACATAGCAAGTATAAAGTCTCTCTTAGTAGAGCTATAAGTTCTATTTGCCAAAAGTAATTCTGTTGACAATTCACAAGCAGTTTTTAAGAAAACCAGAGCAAAGGCATACAAGAAAAACACCAATGGGAGGCCAAGTCATTTTCAAAACACTACACGTTCATCCTCTCTAGTCTTTTTCACTATTTAAAAGCTCTGAAAACTCATAAGCATTTTGCACTGGTCCTCGTTTTCTAACATCAGCAAATTTAAACATGTGAAGATTTGTCAAATAAATATTTATTTTGAGGCTGCCCTTATTTTTGGTCTTTATATATCCACACCCACAAAAAGCAATACCAGATGCTCTGACAGGGCCTGCTAAAAGCAACAAGGAATCATTTGACTATAATATGCTTATGTCCATTACATCCAGATGCTTTCCAAAAACACAGTACGAGATACTTGCAAATTTATGAGTTCGTAGTCTCATTAGAAACATGATTTTCATAGAATTTAACAAACCAGAAAAACTGCAAGACATACTAAAGTAAGGCCACGTTATTACACAAATTTGCTGTTGCATAAGTTCACTGTTCTAAGATACAATTTCTTAAAAGATAAACAGGAAGCATTAAGGAATCACTACACAATGCTTGTAGGGCTGCTACTGGTTGGCAGTTTGCCACCTTCCTCCCCCTCCCCATTTCCCGCACCATATGAGTACATCTTGCAGCACTGGTAGGAATGAAGAGAAACTGAAGATGGGGTTGGGGGAAGACTTATGAGGCACCAAATATTCATGAAAACATAACAATAAAAGAGCTAACCTGAAGAGCTTGCATGTGTGGTGACTGAATGACTGAGGGCTGTGTGGCTTGAATGACACCCTGGACATGAACAGTTTGACCAGAAGGCAACTGCACTAGTGCTACAGCTGGAGATCCTCTTCCAGCACTTGATGCAGCTACAGAAACCTGCAAAAATTACAATCATGATGTTTAAGTAACATGCCTTAAGATTTCAGCAAATGCTTTTAGAAGTGATACTAGAAAAAAATGGGTTGATTCCATATCTAAAATAGCTTAGACGTGTGTAATTACTACACACAGAAATAAACTAGTTGTACTCGTAAAAGTTTGGTGTGTATCTTTCCAAATGGTATGGAAAGCTTAGAACTGTCCCCTACCAAATTGCAAACTTTTAAACTTTTTTATTTTTTTTTTTTGGTCCAGAGACTTCATGTTTTCTTTTCAATTAAAAACAACCCTAAGCTGTCACACATTAAATCTGCTGTTGCTAGCATGAAGGATAGGCAGAACCTCAAGAAATGTAACAAAAAAATATCAGTATTCACTGAAGTGGTATGTTGCTGCAACAACATACAGGGTGGAATGTTCTTACTCAGGAAAAAAAAAAAATCTAAAAAAATATTAAAAATCCAGAACTGCTTTGGTTTTGCTTTGTTTGTTGGGCAAGTTTAGTTTGAACTTACGCTTTTCAGACAGATATCTTAAGAAATGCAAGAACTTTTCAGATAGCAAAAAAGCAATACATGGATTTGTAAGTTGTTTTCATTTCAGAAATCCTCTTTATATGTATTTATGTATCAGGAAAAACAGTTGGAGTCTATCAGTGCTCTGATACAACAACAAAAACAAAGAACAGCTGTATCTTCTTTAAGCCTAGCACAGCTGAAGAAAGTGTTCTGTTTAGGAATAATCTGATCCCTTTTTCTGATGACATTTTACAGCACACACAGCATTCCCCAGCCCTTGGTTCTCAACCATTGGTACTGAGGATGAACGGGTTAATAAACAGTTGAACACCTACCTAGTTCAAGATTTATGCTATTACTGTTAAATCTATTAACAGAAACAAATACTGAAGCAAAGGGAAAACACTATTATTGATCTCAAGTTGTGTGTCATGAAATATCTCTAAACTCAGAAAAGGAAGAGAATGGCAAACATAAATCATATCATAAGAAGAAATATTGTGTTCTTCAAAAAGTGAACTGCACTGAAAAACTTTACTTCTATATTCTGCATGTACAAGAATAAACCCAGACTAATATCTAAAATGCTGGTATTATTCCCTTCCTAGCTTGGTTCTCAGCCCCCAAAGAGATCTGGTATGAGCAGTAAAGGTAAAAACAGATGACAGAAGAAAAACATGATGAATGCTGAAAATAAAATAAAAGAAGTTAAAGAAAGTTCGGGGGGTTTCTGTATTCACATTGAAGGTTATTTTGAATTCCAAATATTAAAGCAGTTTTCATTCCTTGTTCATTATCCATTGCTTGTCTGGGAAACATTCCTT